TCCTGCAGTCGCAGTCGAGCAGCCGCCTCCGTCCCCGCCCCGGAGCACGGAGGCTGCAGCAGCAGCGGCGGGTGCAGGCCCCGGCCCTCACCCCACCCCCATCCGCGGCGCGGGCGCTGCCAGGCCGGAGCCACAGGAGGTAAAGGCGGCCGGGTCGCGGAGCTGCGACTGCTTCTCCCTCGGGGCTGCGCGGCGGCTGGGCCAGGCCGCGGGCCCGGGGCGCCCTGCATGCTGCTGTGCGGGGTCCTGGGTTGGTTGCATGGAGGAAGTGACCCGTGCGGCTCCGCCTGGGGTGGGGGAAGGAGGCGGCCGCGGAGGCCGGAGCCGGCCTGGGAGGCCGAGAGCATCCGCGCCCCCTCTGCAGGCGTCGTTGTTGCAGCGTCTTGGTCAGGTTCTCGGTGGCTCTGTTCATGTGTTCCCCCCCCCCAGACCGAAAGGACGTGGAGCTGCAGCACTTCTTAGCCCCCCTCGGCTCCTCAGCACCCGTTCCCCGGAACAGAGAGCTCAGCCTGCTGGAGTACTGAGCCTGGCCCAGATTCATAGTTGCTCTTGACTCTTAGACAGATTCCTCAATACAAAAGTTTGCAAGGAGCACCTAAAAATTAAACCCGTGGGCAGGTCTAGTGGGTGATTCTTTACAGTTTCCAGCAGTTAGCTGTTAAAAGCCAGTAGTGCCCTCCCTTTTCATCTGGACCAAGGCAGGCCTTTGAAGCTGCAGGGAGAACTGACTGGATGCCAGAACATTATATTTGAAGGAAATCACATTCACTTTGTTCAGTGTCTAGTTACCTGAGTTGTGACTAACACTGAGACACTGGTTTGCTGACAGCGTGCTTTTGAAATTGCATTCCTTTAAAGGAGTGCCAGATGCTGCGCAGTATTAAATGGTTAGGTGTGCTGACACCTACACTTGATTCACCAGATAAACCCAGAGATATCGAATAGGAGTCCAGAGCTTCAGAAACTTTCTGACCTGTTATGGCCTTTCTGCACCTGAAGAATTGCACTCTTATTTTGTCCATAATTAAAGCAAGTAAAAGCTAAGAGCTGGGATTTTCTGAGGAGTTCCCTGGCTCTGAAAAGATTGAGAACCACTGTTTTAAAGCATGGTTTCCATCTGTACTGTGGATACACTTTAAAGGAGTACCCATGCTGTGATCAGGTGCCTCAACACAATTGACTTTGGTAGAGTAGATGTTGCCTAAAAGTAGGTGCTTGTTTTCATTGCATTTCCTAGAGAGCTTCTCTCATTCCTTCACTAAGCAATGAGAACAACTTGATTGCTACTTATTAAATGTTTACAATACTCCCTCCCCAACACATTTACAACCTGCACCTTTTAAGACTTGTACCCCTCTTTTGCTAAAGATATGAGTGGTGAAAAAATCAAAGCAAATGATCAAGAAATAAAATAAGCTTCAGCTTAAATCCTAGCCCACGTTTTTTGGTGATACCTTCAGCTAAACAAAAGAGAGAAAGTTAGTTGAATCATTCTTCACCTATTTCCTAGGCATTAAATCTAAGTGTTAACTTCTGGATGGATCATTTAAATGAATAGTTATTTAACATGACATACTAAGAATTCAGTGCACTTGTAAAGAAAATACTTTAAGTGTTCTTTAGATTTGTTTTTTATGGTATTACCCTTCCCCCCTTCTCTTTCTTGATGGAACATATATGACAGTAATGTAGGCTGGACGTGGTGGTGTTGCAGCTGTAAATGTGGAGCAGTGAAAACATTAAGATATTAGTATAGATCAGGCTTTAGGTACCATCTGTGCCACATTTGAAATTAACCAAAGTGCAACACTAGTTTGTACTATATACCCAGTGGGAAGTTTGCTGTGACATTTGCTGTCTGACAAAATAGAACAACCCTTTTAATCAAACTGCTAGATAAAAATGTGTTGTAGCAGGGTCCTGTAACTCCTGTAACTGTGGTATATTTGGAACTTATTTTCATGACTTGTTGCCTTTGGCCATTCTTTGTAGGCTGATACAGCCCTCTGCCAAATCAAAGCATGTTGAATAAAACAACAGACCTTTCTTAAAGAATTTACTACATTTCAGGTATAATGGAAGCAAATCACTGCGTAGAAGTCTATTGAAATATGGATTCAGCTATAAAAGTTGCTAGATTACTAGCTCCAAGTTCTTGTTTACAATGGAAAGTTTGTCGAAAGAATGACCCGTGTTAGAAACTCTAGTGTAGACAAGAGCCTTCAGTAACTTTTGCTTAGCACAACGTTATAAGGACTTGTCTACATGAACAAGTTAGTATTGCATACACTCTTTCTGTGGCCAGTATAAAAATAAGTTGCATTTATGTGACAACCCCTTGAAGCGATGTAGAGAAATTTTGACCCGTCTTCATCCTAGTGTGCTGTTTGTGTTTACACCTCTCTGTCTTGACTGACCCTCCAAACGTGGTCCCACACTGCTTTAAACTCTTCGGTGACCTGACCTCTCTCTGTATATGTGGCTTGTGCACCTTCGGGGGTACAGTGACCAGGTGTTTAAACTTTTCCATGTAAATACTGGCATGTAGCTGTTGTCTTCATGCTTGAATGTGATCTACACATGCTTCTGTGCACACTGCAAACCTCTGAATAGTTCATGTCATTGTTAAAGTTGGCCCCATGTCAAAATCCTAGGCTTCTTTGCACTTTGGGACAAAGGCAAGGTGTATCCTCAGAACCACTGCAACCAGGTGGTATACAAGGCCTTTGGCAAAGAAGTGGCAGCCTTTGGGCAATTGCAGCAACACCACATATTACTGCTCTGAGGTAAAGGATTTGAAAATGGGTCTGTTGGGCTGTGAAGGATGTTAACTGTCTTGTCATACTGCAAGGAGTTGGACTAGATCTTGATAGGTGTCTCCAGCACTGAGCTGTACTTTGTGGTGGATGAAGGGAAGGGACTGCATGTTTTGAGGACAGTGTGATAGACAAGTCCTTACGAAAGGACAACCCTGACAGCCAGGGACTGTCTGCAAGACAGGAACCCAATCAGGGCCCTGGCCCCCCACCCCAGCTCAGAGAACCTCCTCCCATATATTGCTAGCCAACTTGGCCACACTTGCTGAGTCCCAGACCTTCAGCAGGAAAAATATGGTAAGCAAGCTTGCATTTCCCTTAGCTATTAGCACATAGCAAGATCTAGGCCACAGACATTTGTTTGCAGTCATTGTGGGCCAGTGTGAGAAAATGCCCTGTGTGAGTTCTAGTCTCACCTTGGTGCCACTATTCACATGTCCAGGATGTTAAGCTTCAACTATGGTTGCTGAAAATGCCTTCTCTTCCCTTTCCCAGCACTGTCTCCTGTTCTCTCCATCAAGCCAACCTCATCCATATTGCACACGTTGCTTGGCTCCCTGGCAGGGACTACCCAAGCTGAAATGACTGCTCCTTCTTTCCAAATGCCCCTCTTTGCCCTTGTTTGGTCCCGGTAAATTAAAAAAAAGTAATCCAAAATAGATATCTTTACTGTATCTCTGTTTTTTTGAACACCAAGCCTTTAGGTTGCATTGCAGTAAGAAATCAGTGCACTGTTATTAGGATTTGCCTGTCCAGAAAATGGTGTACAGGTTTTTTTTTTTTTTTTTGTTATTCTCATAAGGATTTTCAAAGTGATTCCAAGGTCTCAGTTGGCTTTTGAGAGAACCATGAATTTCCAGAGAAGTAAAGTTTCAGAACAATTTGTCATATCCAGGGTCTCCCAAGACTGAAGAGAGGCTCTGGAGATGTCTTTCCAAAATTGAGGGGCGAAGACAGACATTAACTCTGAAACTTTGGAAACCAAATAATCATTAGTAACTGGCTTGATACTCTTCTCATCTTTGGCACCTAAATCTGTGGCAGAAGATTGAGAAATGGAGTCTATTTTGCCTAGAGAAGAGATGGCTACGAGGAGAGCTGATAAGACTCCTCAGATATGTATGACTGCTGAAATGTGGAAGGTTATAAACTTATCCATATCCACTGGGATAGGACAATAAGTAATAGGCTTAACTATGGTAAGGAAGATTTAAATTAAGCTTTAAGGCCACAAATGCTAACCATAACTCATCATATAGTGAGCTTGATTCTGCAGAGAAAGTGAACCAAAGTGAAATGCGGGAGGGACTGGAGGGAAAGTATCACATACATAGGTTTTGAAACCTTTAACTCTGGAAGCTTTAAATAAGAGGTTAAACAAAAATCTGCCAGGCCAGGAATGGTTTTGGTATAGTTGACTTGGTCTTTAGACAGGAAAGATGACCTCTCAAAATCCTTTCCAGCTCTGTTTCTGGTTCTGTAACAATTTTTTTAAATAGTCTTAAGAAGTGTCCTGTCTTTATCTGTATTTCTTGGATTACCATACCATTTATTACATATATTTAAATGCCCATTTGGAAATTTATAGTTCATTTAAATTAAATGGGTGGGAGAACACTGAATTGGCTCCTTTGATGCTCTTGTTCTTATGAAAATGTCTTCCGCTAATTTCTTTCAGCAGTTTTCCTATATTCTTTTTTTTTCTCTTAAACTAAGGGAAAACAACTTCGGGATTTGGAGAGAGGAAGTTCACACGCTGTCTACAGGGAAAAAAACCTTGCAACTTTGTAAATAAAACCTGAGAATATAATTATCAAGTCTGTAGTCAGTTAGGTACTTCTTTTTAGCTTATTTTTTAAAAAACTATGTACTTCATATTTTAGCACTTAGCTTAATGGATCATTTTGAGTATACAGATCTAAAAAGTTGGTGAACTGTCACATAACTAACTGGGTGAGAGTATGGACCTTTTGAAAATGGGCAGAATTTTGAATTCAGACAACCTGTCTTTCACAATTTTGCTACTGCAATTTTTAAAAATTTTTATGCACTTGTGACAGCCTGATTCACAAATACAGATTTGGGTTAGAAAAGGATCTTCAATTTCAAATATTAGAAGAAAAGGAAATAACTCAAGATTATGTTCCATCAACCACACTTCAACTTGTTCTTACTATTCTAGATGCTTTATATTTAGGATCAGTCTTACTAACTAAGGTAATAAATATTTCATAGGCCTTCTGGATGACTTCTCAGAAAAGTCCTTGTGAGATTTTGTTGTTTTATGTGATTAGGTGAACTTAAATTTTCATGGAGGCTCAAGTGGCAGGCTCTTCAGTCTATAAATTTTTGTGTCTTCAATTCCTTTTGTAAATGTAGCCTGCCTTTGTAAAATCCTATTGCATATACAATATGCAGCGTTTTGATCTCTGCACCTCATTTGTTTAACAATGTCAATATACTTTGCTTGAAAAGTGGAGACAGTTTTCTAAAGAACTCCACAAAAATGTCTTTAGACAGTGGGAACATCAATCCTCCCTTTTAATCAACCAACCATAACATTTGCTTTAGAACATTTGCTTTAAGAAGTTGTCTTAAAGGAGTGAAAAGACTCTACATTCATGCTAAATAGAGTTTTCAGTTGTGCTGAGTACTGCTGTTGAAAACCCCACTCCAGTGTGGACATATTAGTCCAGGCTATTCAGTTAACTTGATTGCATAAAACCACTCTTTTTCTCATCTAGAAGAAGCTACAAAACAGCTTGATTAGTTGTGCATTAAGGGATATATTCTAATTTCTGTGCACTAGATATCCGTGCCTAGCTCCCCACCATGGTTGGATGAATCTTTTCCTGACTGGCACTGAAGTGAGAACACCGTCAGGATGGTTAAGAACTGTGCGGAAGACATTCAAATCAAGTAAGACTATTTCTAGTGTGATCTGTCTTCTGTTTTTACTTTTATGCATGGTGCTGGTTCTGTAACTGATGTAATTCCATGCATTTAAAACTAGGAAACAGAATCCTTTTGTTGAGTTAAAAGTTTTTTTCTGTAGAAAAGCAACTTAAATCTAACTAAATTCAAGCTTGAGTGCCAGGTTAATTGTAGTGAAATAGTAGTTATATCTAGCCTTATATATTATTTAGTCCTTAAAATTACTAAGCATTATATGGTCTATTGGAAAATTGCATATTTGATTTTATATTTTTATAATTTCTCTTTATGAGGAAAGTGTGTTCACACCTACAGATGCCTAACTTGTATGTGCAACAATATGATTTCCTGACAGCAAGAGAAAAGTATATTCTATAGCTACAAAGTCTTTATGAAAGAAATATGAGAAGGAATCCATTGCTGGGCAGCATAGCTGGAGTAGTCAGTGAAGCTCAAAATGTAAGTTCTTTAGAATTATTACTTTATTCGAACAATAATTCTTTTTGGTCTCCAGGGTCTCGGTAGGTTTGTTAAGAATAAAAAAGTTAAATGGAACATTGAAATATGTTTTGGGTATATATGGTTTGGAAAATTGAATGTCAGATTTGTTTAAGTACTTGATTATTGTCTTTTTAATTCCTCTGAGTAATTTAAAATTTATATAGCAGTCATACCACTTGAGATTGTATGTTAAGAGTTGGGCAGGGTCAGAGTTTGTTCTATAGGTGAATTGAAGGCCTGTATGATACAAACAAAATTGTATGGGTGGATAGTACTGATGGTTCAAGCTTAAACTAATAACTTCTGGTGCTGGATACCTAATTTATGCATACTTTTTAAGTCATTCATAATCTAACACATTGCTAAAATATATTGCTGGCACTACTAATCCAGTGACTATTGACTACAGAAAAATAACTATACTAATGTTTCTTCCACAGTAGAAGAAATGCAGTAACCTCTGACGTAAAGTTCTGAAAGGGTTGTGTGACTTTACTATGCATTTATTATCAGCTTTTTACTTAAACTTGTTAAAACTGTGGCTTACTACATTTCCCTTTTGTTAGGCTTTTCCTCCTTGGTTCAACTCTTTTTTCTTTTCTTTTTCTTTTCCTATAATAACGTGATTATTGCAGCTTCATAGATTGTTGGATAACTGCTCATGAATTTTAGCATCCATTTTAAGGAATCCTGCATAATTGCAACCCCCACACCCCCCAATGTGAACTGCATGCATGTGAATGATATATTTGTGAGGTCTTGTTTATATTGAATAATCCTATATTTATTTTTCAAAAAGTAAACAATGCATGTCGGACTTTTTCCTACTACGTCAGAAAAATAAAATACCTGCATCCTGTCTAGTAATCCTTTACCATTGTTGGAAAGCCAAGAAAAAAAGTAGACCTTTCCCAGACTAAGAAAGATGATGTTATTTCCAATCAATTTGGCTTCATTGAGTTTAATCGTAGTATAAACACAATTTAGCACTTCACACCAAGTTTTAGCAGATGTGTTGTGGCCTAGATCATGTCTCCTGGAAGACTTACACAGCAGGTTTACACAGGAAACTTGCTTGCATAATGAAGTTAATTGTCATTCTAGCTTTAAACAGATATCTCATTTGAGGTGGTCCTGATTGATCCAAGTCAAGACCTGGAACAAATGAAAAGCAGCATAGCCCTGTATATATGTCACCATTCTAAGCTGCATTGCTTCCCCTCTGATATGTCTGTCCCTGCATGGCAATTAACTTAACGAACTGCTGTGAGTTCACAAATGTATACAGCTTGGTGGGGGTGGTGTTAGCACATTTTATCTTGGGTACTTCACCATTACCTGAAGTGGGGGAATGAACTTGTATGTCTACAGGATCCCAGGACAAAGGCTTTTTTCTGGGAGAAATGTCATGTCTGTTTACATCTTTATTCTAGGGATTCCATTTAAAGCCTCACTTTCAAAACAATTTAGCTTTTGTGTATGGTTGTAAAGTTGTTGCAGTGAGATTCAAGATGGCTCTAGAAAGCAGGGTTGTCCTCTATGGCAGTGCCATGATGTGTGCAAAAATAGGAAGTAATTCAACATCAACATGAAAAGCTGGGAGGAGTGCGCAGAATCCTGTCCAGTCTGGAGGGAACGTCTGGTACTGGGTGCAGCTCAACAAGAAAT